TTTTTTTTGTCTTCATCATGTCCCAAAATTCTAAATCTCCTTCTCAAACCACACCAACAAGAGTCACTCAACCTTCCTCTTCCCAACCTTTACAGCGTCCTTCTCATCCATTCTTCAATGTCTCAAATATAAGACATTATGTGAATGAAATACTGAACTTCACTAATTTTCTTCTTTGGCGTTCTCTTATTACTCTAGTTCTTCAAGGTTACAATATGTATGGTCATGTAGATGGCACCTCTGTTGAGCCACCCAAAACCGTGACTCAAACTGATGACTCTATCACTCTCAATCCTTACTAACATTTATGGAAGCAAGTTAATTCTCTAGTACTTTCATGGATTCAAACCACGGTCAATACCAAAATTCTTCGCAATTTGACCAAACTCAATGTCTCTTTAACAACATGAGAAGCATAGAAAAATATAGAATTGTTGTTCAAAAATCAAGCGCATGCTCACTTATTACAATTGAAGGCCGAATTTTACAACACCACAAAGATGAGCCTCTTTATTGACAACTACTTACAAAAGCTAAAAGATATCTATAATTCTCTAAGTCCCATAGGCCATACCATTATTGAATTTGATTTGGTAATGCAGATTTTGGAAGGCTTGCCTATCGAATATAAAAACGTTGTTATCAACCTTAGTAGCCAAACTCCCTTACCCTCCTTCATTGAAACCAGAACTGCACTTTATTTACAAGAACTTCGCCTCCAAAATAGATCCAAACGAAACACTTCAAACATCAATTCCTCACCTACCACCCAAACAGCCCTGACTGGCTCTGAACATTCAGGTTTTCAACCCAATTGAGGACGTGGACATTTTAGCAACCAATTTAATTCATCTCCCAGGCCTTATCATGCTTATAACAACAATGCATCTCACTTCCAAAATTTTTCAGGGAATCATGGAGAAAGAGGTCGTGGCCGAGGATGAGGTTATTTAAATTCATCTTGCCCACAATTCAATTCACCTGGTGTCCTTGGTTCTCAGCCGCCCATGTGTTTTAGCAACATTCATCCAATGTTTAATGTCAAGTATGCAACGATTTTTCACATGTGGCGAGGGCTTGCCCTTTGCTTTATCATGCCACACAACATTTTTTCTAAAATTCACCTATGACACAATAATTTTACAAAATATTTTGCTACCACCCAACTTCAATATCTATCTTCCTCAGCCTGGATACCCGACACAGGTGCTACATCACACATGACCAACACTCCATGTAATCTGTCCATGTTTTCGACTTACAATGGATTCGATAAAGTAATTTTTGGAGATGGTGAAAAACATGATATCACTCATATTGGTCATACCCAATTACCTTTATCAAAGTCAACGTTCAAGTTAAATAATGTTTTTGTGGTTCCTAGTTTAACTAGTAATTTGATTTCCTGAAAAATTCACTAAAGAAAATTCTTGTTCAATAAAATTTGACCCTTTTGGCTTTTGTGTTAAGGATCGTTAGATGCGGATACCACTTCTCAGTTGCAGTAGTCTTAGAGATAGCTATGTGTTTCCTTTTAATTCTTTTTCGAATTCGTTGTACCATACTAGTTTTCGTATTGTCAATTCTTCTTCTATGCTATGGCATCGTAGATTTTGTCATCTTCAAGTTCTAAATTCGTTTGTTCTTTCTTTAGGTTCGAGTTTTCATAAATTTAATTCTTCAAATAAATTGTGTAATGCTTGTCAATTAGGAAAACATCATCGTCTGTCTTTTAATTCTTTTCATGTTTGTAGTTTTTTTTTTTTTCATCTTATTCATTCTGATGTATAGACATCACCAATAAAATCTTTTAGTGACTTTAAATACTATTTGGTGTTTATGGATGACTTTTCTACATTTGTGTGGTTATTTCCTATTAAAAATAAAAGTCCTCTTTGAGCAATTTTAGAATTTTCATTGCTTTATTCTCACCTAGTTTAATTGTTATATCAAAATTTTGCAGTGATAGTGGTGAAGAATTTACTAGTAATAATTTTAAGATTTTTGCAGCTCAATAGGGACTTCATATGTAATTTTCATATCCCTACAAGCCTCAACAAAATGGTGCTGCTAACAGGGTGCATAAGACTTTGATTGAGATTGTTCGAACTATGTTGCTGGAAGCTTCTATGCCAACTAAGTTTTGGGTAGAAGCAACAAAAATAGCAGTGTATGTTCATAATTTAACTCCACGACAATTACTGAAATATTATTCTCTAATGAAAAATTAATGGGCAAGAATCCTAACTATAGTCATCTATGGGTATTTGGCGGTCTCTGTTATCCAAACTTAATAGCAAAAACAACAAATAAATTAGAAGCAAGATCAGTTCCATATGTCTTTATCAAATATTTAGATAATCAGAAGGGGTACAGATGTTTTGATCCAAAGAGAAATGTGGTATATATCTCTAGACATGTTAGTTTTGATGAATTTTGCTTTCCTTTCAATTCCTATCTACTAAAACTGATAAGTCTGTTGGTTTTCTTAATTTTATCCAAACATTGCCCCTTTTTCTTACTCTCCCTGAGCTGTCCATCACAAGTGCCCAGCCACCCGTCACATGTAGCTTGCCTCACAACATTGTCGACCAGCCCCACGCCACTTCAACCCATCCTCATCCAGAATCAGCTTCTGCCTATGACTTAACCACCTCGCCGTTACAACTTGAAATAACGCAACAAGATGACTTGCATTCGCCATTATCGCCCCCATCTTTATCTACACCAGTCAAACTACCAACAAATCTTACCAAGCTGAAACAATTCAACCAAAAACATCCCATGTTAACACATTCCTAGACTGGCAATAGGAAACCTAAAGTGCTTAAATCTCTAATTGTTCACCAAACCCACTCTCACCCAAATATCAACCTTATCCCAAAGGAACCAACGTGTTTTACAAAGGCAAATAAGGATCCAAATTAGAGAAAAGCAATGTCTGAAAAATATAATGCTTTAATGCAACAGCAGATGTGGATTTTAGTCCCACCCCCGTAGATGTCAATATTATTGGATCAAAATGGGTATTCAAAATAAAATTAAAAGCTAATGGGCACTTAGAAAGGTATAAAGCTCGGTTGGTGGCCTAATGTTTTACTCAACAACAGGGCACTGACTATGATGAACCTATAACCCGGTTGTAAAACCCACAATGATAAGGACGCTACTTTCATTAGTTGTTTCACATGGCTGGCTTGTGCATTAACTTGATGTTAAAAATGCTTTCTTGCATGGACTTTTACATGAAGATGTTCTTATGAAACAGCCAAAGGGGTTTATTCATCCCGATTATCCAAACTATATTTGCAAATTGAAGAAAGCTATTTATGGGCTCAAACAAGCTCCACGGGCTTGGTTTGAGCGGTTCACAAGTTTTCTAAAATTGCATAGATTTATTTATAGCTGAACTGATAGTTCAATGTTTATACTCAAACATGGGGCCAACATAATCATCCTTTTATTATATGTAGATGATATCATGTTAACATCATCTTCGTCTTTTTTGTTGCAACATATTATACAGGTTCTTAAAACTAAATTTGCTATGTCTGACTTAGGAAAACTCAATTATTTCCTCGGCATACAAGTCACATACAATTCAGAATGGATGTTTCTGGATCAAGCTAAATATGCTGAGAACTTGTTAGAAAAATCTGAATTGCAGTATTCGAAACCAATTGAAACTCTAACAGCACTCAAACATTCATTGAGCTCATCAGTAGACAGCCCATTATTGGATGATCCACGACACTATAGAAGTATTGTAGGGACATTATAATACTTAACTTTTACACGGCCTGATGTATCTTATGTCGTTAATCAAGTATGCCAGCATATGCAAGCGCTAAGAGAAATTCATCTACAAGCAGTAAAATGTATTCTTTGCTATCTCAAAGGGATAGTTAACTATGACCTTTAAATATACAAAGGACACAACAACTCCTTAGTTGCATATTCAGACGCTGATTGGGCAGATTGCCAAGGCACAAGACGATCAACCACTGGCTTTGCAATTTTTTTGGGCAACAATATTTTATCCTGGTCAGCTAAGAAGCAACCCACCGTCTCACGTTCCAACGCTGAAGCGAAATATCGGGTTGTTGCAAGTGCCATGGCAGATTTGATGTGGATTGAACAATTATTACATGAATTGAATATTCAAATTCAGCATCCACCAGAGGTCTTCAATGATAACATAAGTACAACATACATGTCCGCCAATCCCATACAGCATGCACGCAAACATATACAGCTAGATGCCCATTTTGTGCGTGAACGAGTGGTGGCTCAGCAACTTCTTGTGCACCATGTCTCCAGTAAAGAACAGATTGCGGACATCTTCACCAAAGGATTGCCAAGCAGCAGATTTTGTCAACTTTGTGTCAATCTTAGTGTTCTACCACGCTTCGATTGAGAGGAGATATTGATAGATACAGTTATTGATAATTATCCTTCATAATAATATTGCATTTATCTTATTGATAATTTTCCTTCATAATAATATTTTATTTATCTTATAGTTATTTATAGTTGTCACATATAGAACACTTGTTGTATAAATACATTCTGATTGATACATAAAGGAGGGAGAGAGAATTATTTTATAAACTCTTTTATAGAGAAAATTAGCATCAGTAAGGAATTCTCTGCAATCATCATTAGAAACACAGTTCAAAATGCAGTACATTGCTTGTTGTGTAATTAAACCATGCTTGTAAGATGTGAGGAGAAGAAATAGCTTGCAGTCAGAAGAAGACGATCAATGAGGTGGAAATGCTGGAGATGGTGGCTCGACATAACTGAGGTCAACTTTCTGGGGCAGAAGCTGATACGTAATATTGAGATCTTCAAAAATTTTCTTTAGTTGCAAGACCAGCTCAGATCTCCTGCTAATCTTATCTCCATAATTCT